GTTTTAATTGAAAAACAATTTGGAAAAATGAGTATAGACTGGTTCGCTTCAGAAATATAATCATAAATTGCCGGCGTTTTTTATTCCAAGTTTTGGCATCCTAGTTCTCAAGGTGTAGATGCCTTTACAGTAAGTTGGGCTGGAGAATTTGGATTATTTGTTCCCCCTTTTTATCTTATTCACAGGGTTTTGAATAAGATGATTTTAGATCGGGCACAGGGAATATTAATTGTCCCTCTATGGAAATCAGCTCCGTTCTGGCCGTTATTATGCCAAAATGGTTGTTTCATTAACATAATTAAAGAATTTATTATGTTGCCTACGGAGGCTAAATATTACACGAAATGTAAGAATGGCCATGGAATTTTTGGAAATATCGATTTAAAATTCGGTATGTTGGCTTTACGTGTTAATTGTTAGGGGAATTTACTCTGACAGAGCCATAAACCTAGTAAGATTGAGTAGTTTCCCTTGATTCATGATGTGTTTGTAGATATTATTATCGCTTTATTTTGCTCTCTTGTTATATATTAAAAATTTGCTTACTAGAGCAATTTTAAATATTATGCTCGCTGGAGCGGATTTTTCATTGACCCTGTTAATAAAAATAATATTTGCTCACCGGAGTGTATTTTTATATTTTGCTCACTGGAGCTGTAAGGACAAAAAACTCACTGGAGTTTATTTAATAGTATTTTGCTCGCTGGAGTGGTTTAATTATTTGCTCACTGGAGCTGTAAGATCAAAAGCTTATCGGAATTTATAAAATAATATTTTGCTCACTGGAGTCGATGTTAAGATCAATTTGCTTTCTGGAGCTGTTTTTGATATAAATGTTCAGTTTAATTTTCACTTAACTTGCTGAATGGAGTTTTTTCTTAGTTATTTGGATTGTTTAAAACATATAAGCATTATATCTTATCATATTGAAGAAAGTTTGTATTCATGTTATCGTATCAATTTAGATCTATTATTATGTTTTTTAAGTTTTATTAGACTCGTGATAATTTTAATTATAAAATTAATTGTACACGATATAACATGAAATGTTTCCATATAAATTCATACATATTAAGGAATTACATAACAACTAGTAACAAAGTGTTATTAGAATCATATTGATGTATTTCACAGTAAGCATGTTTTGAACATTTGTTTTTATTAAATTTTTCTCAATTCAAATCTGTTTTTTTCAGATTCATAAGGACGATATTGATGAATTGCCACCGGTTTTGGCGGATAAGATTGACCTACTCCCAGACATTTTGAAGAAGTCAAGAGCGGCTAATACTTGTAAGAAATATGAGTTGGCATTTAATCGTTGGATAAAGTGGGGTTTGTGTAATTCTTTAGGGAGTGGGGATTTCTTACCTGCTAAAACTTTAACTGTGGCACTTTATTTATCTTCATTAATTCAAACTGCGCGTACTCCTGCTCCTGTAATAACAGCTTTTTACGCTATTAAATGGTTCCATGATTTGAATGGTTTAGTTTCCCCTACTGATTCTAAAATTAATTTAAATATTTTAGAAGCTGCTAAAAGAATTTTAGCAAAACCTGTAAACAGAAAAGAGCCAATTACAGTTGGAACTATTTTGGCTGTTTATAATTCTCTTTACGAAAAGAAAAATATTAAAAATCAAAGAATCATTTGTGCTATTATTTTAGCTTATGCAGGTTTTTTGCGCAGTTCTTAATTATTGAATATAAAGGTATCGGATATAGTGTTTGAACAGTCATATATGGCTACTTATATTGAGAAAAGTAAAACGGATGTATATAGAGATGGTCATTGGTTGATGATTGCGGAAACGGGAACTCTGTTATGTCCTTGTGAAAATGTGTTAAAATATATAAAATGGGCAGAGCTTATATTAATGGTGAAGATTTTCTATTATGTAATTTGTCAAAAACGAAATCAGGATATAAAGTGAGAAATGGACGTTGTAGAACTTCTACCACGAACTTGCGTGAGATGTTTTTAAACGCTTTGAAACCACATGTATCAGATATAAAATTCGTAATGTTTATTTTAGCCTAGAATATAGGTTGAAAAAATGTATCCCTATTTACCTAAAACATACTCATTTCTTACTGTGAAATATATTTTGTATGGGTATCCTGTCGTCATCTTTTTAATTGTGTGCTTAATGGTTTGTTAGTTCACAAGAAACGAAGGTTTAGGGTGACCTATTACTATTATAGGGGGATGCCCCGGCGTCCGTCGTTCGTCGTCTTGTGTCAACAATCGTCTTCTTCTCTGAAACTGCCGAGCAGATTTACTTCAAATTAGTCTGTAGCATCATAATGACAGTCAGAGTTGAATATTGCTGATGTCATTTCAATTAGCCCCTTTTAGGGGTCAACAGAGATAAAAATAGAAAAACCTTTAAACATCTTCTTCTAATGAACTAAGTGATGGATGATCACCAAACTTTGTCTGTAGCATTTTTAGGTACTCTTGTTTGCTCATATCAATTTGATTGGCCCCTTTTAATGGTTTCTTAGGGCTAAAAATAGAGAGAAAAAAATTAAACATCTTCTACAAAATCAATGGATGGATGATTACCAAACTTTGTCTGTAGAATTCTTGGGTATTATTTTATCAAGTTTGCTCATATTTATTTATCAAGTTTGCTCATATTAATTTGAATGGCCCCTTGGCCACCAAAGCTAAAAATAGAAATACCTTTAAATGTCTTTTTCTACTTAACTAATTGATGGATGATCACCAAACTTTGTCTGTAGCATTCTTGGGTAGTCTTTTATCAAGTTTGCTCATATTTATTTGACTGCTTATAACTAAGCAATACAGTAATGGTAATGAAAAACAAGATTAAATGACTTAACTTGTTCCAATAAAAACAAGAGCACTTCAAAGGTGGTACAATACATTTATTTTGCCCGAATGTTAAAATATGCTTGTGAAATCAAAATTCATCTTTCAATTAATAAAGAAACCCAAACAAGAAACGTGTATCAATATGATACTTAATGACCTTCAGAGTGGGGGTATTATACACCCTAGGTGTATCATTCATAAAACGTTTTAAATGTCATTTAGGTAAATATAGTAGCTCTGGGTTAAAGAGGGTTAGCTGTGTTTTTCTATACTATAAGGAAATGCTACTTACTAAATATCTAAGGTTTCACATAACGAAACGAAAATGTGTTTTCCTTTTGATTTCCTCTCATCGGTTCAAAAGATAAAGACCGGACATGGAATTACTAACAGACGGACGACAAGATGCATAAAAAGGTACGCAGATATTTTTCTTCGTCCGTATAAAACTGGGATTGTACATGTACAAGTGCGATCTATTTATTTTCAGTAAAATACCATCTTAAGGCATTATAGGCAGAGATGCATAAGTTGAAGTAACGTTAATACACTGGAACATATCATAATTATGTGATAGCTCCTGATATTCTCGTATTATAAGTGTGAAAATGAATAAACAATATAATCAATTAGTTAGGCCACCTTCGAAGATCATATTGTTTTGATGCATGATGTCGATCGGTTGGGCGGCCGGTGATCGACATCCTTTTAATCCTTGGGATGATGTTTTCGTTTATACAAGCGTTTACAGTATATGCGCCTAGAATTGTTTACTTTCCGCTCTAACTGAAAGGATTAAAGGCCAACATCCAAGGTCAATAACAGCAAAGGACATTTACATAGAAACTTCAATGTTTATATGTTAATGCATCTTGACGAATTGTAACTGCGACATACATTTTTATGTCAAATGTCACTGGGACAAAACTTGAATCTCGCCATTTAGTCTAATTTCATTAACATAAGAAGTTCACACTAAGTACGTTAATATACGTTTTTTTAAGTTATATCTGGAATTCAAGTTTCGGGTAAATATTAATGGTCACTGAAACATGAAGTAATATAAAACTGTCCATTTAATCAATGTGTAATGACGTAGAAATCACACACTTTCTTTTTGGACGTGCCTGATAAATCCTTTTAACCACAGTCATTTTGGGAAAAGGTTCAATGTCATAATGACCTTAAACAAATTACGTGACTGATTTCATTATTGTTGTGCTTGTGGTATTTTAGTTCTTTCTATTCGGCATCTTTCTTGTTGGGTGGTTCCAGTATTCCTCACTTGACTCTGTTGAATCACACTTAGGGTATGTGGCCTGCTTTTTAAATTTGTCTTTTGACGTTATATCTGTGATGCGCAGGCTTCATAACCTTAGATCCCCTTTCAAAATTCCATTCTATTAAGTTCCGCCATTTTTTTTCTCGTTTAGGGCACACGCATTTTTTTTTAACTTGGGGACCATATGCCGCTTTTCATGGAATGGCACTTACGTGCCACATTGAAGGTTCAATGATAACCGCCGTATGAACACATCTGCGGATGTTTCAAAATTCAAAATTGTACAAGTTCATGTTAAATGTTGAATTCTGCTTAAGCCGGTGCTAGGGGGCGAGGACGGTAACTGGCAATTTCCTTTACCGTCCATGAACAAGCTCGACTGCAACTTAGTTATACATGAACACGCATCAGAATATTTGCATAATGACTGTTGGTGCTTAAAATATAAGAATTTTAAGAATACAATTAAGTAAAGTGTCTTTAAAATCACTTTCAGTTAGATCATCTTCAAACACTGAATCCACAATAATGAGATTTCTTTGTTACAAACTCCATGTTTGTCCTATAGATTATCACTCATGTGCATCGACTAAGGAGACTGAGAGAGTATTTTATGACCTATGAGAGACGAGCGTGCGGACTTGAAAACGCAACAAAGTAATCATCCAAAAAGAAGAAAATTAGCTTACAATACAGAAGAAAATATGAATACTTTGAGTATCTAACAGTGTTAAAAACTAGGGTTGATAAAAGAAGGAAAACGAGAGATAACCTGGACACGCTGGAGAGAGCACAACTTTGTGAAATTGTCAGTACTGTGTTAAGACCTCAGTATCAGATGGTCTAAATTTTAAAACGAGACTATTACAGCTGTTACATTACTTTACAACGAAGTAACATTTATACATATTTAATAAAAAACATTTTCAAAAATTACATAATCAATGTTAAAACCGGAGACATCCATGAGTAAGCACCCGATAATTGAGAGCTGTACATTACGCGTTCCTTTATTTTGACAATTCCAACACACAAACAGTTTGGTATGTCATTTTAAAAAAAACTGTTTTATATATGTTCATTAAGGCTATTTCAATTACAGAACGCTTAAAATGACTGCATCCACCACATTCAACAGCGTATGCAGGGAAATACAGACTGGTTTGGTATCATTTAGACGTCATTGGCCTGCTACTTTAGCCAAACGTTTGAAAAGTTATTCATATGATACTTTGAAGACTTTTATAGAACTTTTGTTTGAAGTATTGCTTCCTATGAGTAACATACTCTCATTGCAACATATGCTTCCAGGATTTCTAATACCATCAGAACAATCAAGAAGTGTTTTCACCAGGTTAAGATCATTTGACAATTGATTTACATTGTTCGATCTCTTCCCACACGCGTAAACAGATCCTGACAAATCAACTGCGATTTGTGAAACATCTTGTTGCTGATCTTGATATACACTTTCAATTTTACCATCAAATGTCATACTGGTTATATCATTTTTGTTTGTGTCTACAATGTATACTTTTGTATGTTCTGGACTGGCAGCTAAATACCTTGGTGCGGAAAACATAGGCATATTTGCGGCATCTGTATCAAAAGTCATTATAGTTTCGCCAGTTTTATACATGACTTCAATTCGTGGAGGGTTAAGGAAAGAAACAATAAGCTTCATCTGGCAACATGCAATTCCATAACAATTTCGACCGACTTTGATGTCTTCCGTCTTAATCAAAGACTTGTTAGAGCTTGAAAAATACATAAATGTTACTGTTCCAAGATTTGGAAGTGTGACAACTGCTTCAGTTTCTTCACACTTTGCAACCATGGCAGGTCTGGATGAAATATTAATCACTTTAAAGTCGTCTTTTCCATGATTTAGGTCACTGAAATTTAGGACAGACTCCTTCTTTTCATCAGCAACAAGAAGCTGTGTGTTTGACAGGAGGCACATACTTGAAACTTCAAATGATCGCAGATTTGTTTTATACATATATGTTGCCACTTTCTTTCTGTTTGAAACGTGTATGTGCTTCAACGAAAAGAAAGACTTTCTTGTATCAAGTTGTTTTGTGGTCATTCCGATTTCGGTAGTTTCAACCTTAAATGGCTGTACCTGTATTTTCGTGTTTGTTCGTAAAGCAAACATGTTCTGTTTTAACTCATTTGCCTGTCTTTGAGCAGATTTCATTGCCATGAACAACTTGCATCTCTGCTGTGTTTTCTTCTTCAGTTCAATATCTGACTTCACGCTTTGAACTTGCGTTGATATATTTTTGGTTTGTTTAGAAAAATTCTTTATTTTATTCACTTCGTCATCTGTAACTCTCTCCACAATTCCTAATACATTACATGCAACCTTGTGTATCGTCTGCTTAAATTGATTTTCTTTTTTTACAGCTGCTTCAACTTTTGCCTGTCTTTCTTTCTTAAGATTTTCAATAATTTCGTTCATTTTCTTATCAAATTCTTCAATGTTACCTTCTTGTTGTTTATTATATGATTTTACAAGCTCTTCTTTGTGTTCATTAATCACTGACTTTGCAGAATCTTCAAGGTTTTTGACAAAGTTTCTATTACTGTCCAGCAGTAGCTCTGTTTCGCACGTGTCTTTAGATATCTCCTCCATTTCTTCTTCTAATGCCTTTAGTTCCCTAGAGTTTTCTATATCTTTGACAATTGCCGGCAAATGTGCGATTTGTGTACATGACTGATGCTGAGTACCTTTGCAAGTCATACATGCAAATTTATCGCATACTGGACAATAAAACTTTATTACTTGATCAGAATGGTCAGAACATTTCACGTTGCATATGTCCTTAGGCATGTTGTATTTATTTTGAATCTTATGTCCAGGCATGTATCGTGCATGGTACTCAATACAAATCGAGCACATATATTCTGTGCATTGCAGGCAGAGTCCAGAGGCGACCGCATATTTTCCAGTATACTTTTCACATTGTTCACAGCCAACCTCTTCAATTTCATCTGAGTCCTGCAACATGTCATCAGAATTTACTGTACCTTCAGCCATTGTTTTAGTGTTTTCTAAAATGTATTTTAAATATACACGTATATTGAGGTTGAAAACACCCTATTAAATTGAGCCACCATTATGTTGAAAATATAAACAAAACAAACAAATTATTTAAGTTAACATTATATGTAAGTTTTTTTGTACTAGTATTATGTTTTAAACCTTTGATTAATATGGCTATAAGACATAGTTTGATGCCAAGTTAACAATATGTTTCTCAAATTTATCAAGTTATCGTTTTTAAAGAAGCATAGTTTATTATATCCAACAATATAATTATATGATTATCTATTAATTTTATGAACATATTCTGAATGAAAAGTCAATATATTCTACCTGATAGTGTATTATTTCATCACTAACTAAACAAACGAATATCACATATAGGACTTTGGTGCACTTTATGTACACTTAAAATATGTTTGCATTTAGTTTTATATTCATGGGCGGTTAAGGGCGGTTCTACACTCTAAGAGTATTTAATGTCTATGTCTTTGCATATAAAACATTGCTAGATCTAAGAATAGGAGCTTGACATTCTATCAATAATTGAAAAATATAAGCAAATAATTAAGAAATAACGGCAAATATACCCTTCTATACAATAAATAAACACACTTAAGGAATGCAATGCCTTTTTCACACTCGGTGCAAATTTTATCCAATTACACGCGTGGAAAATCAATTCGATACACAATACAAAAGTACCTTTAACAATCGCTGATATTTTAAATCGAAACATTACACAGTCTTTACAAACAAATGTAGATCTATATGGTAAAATCTTTTGTACAAATAAACCGTCCAACCTTGGAATGAATATTACCTATATCTAGTAAGTTTTAACTATTCCCTTTCATTTGACACTGTTGGTAAGAACTGTTATCAGGTGGATTTATTGTTTTACGCTTATTTATTTCGTGTTGAAAAAGTTCAACTTTCGTTTCTACTTATTTCTACTTATTTCTGGTTTGCGCATGCTTAACAATACAATGTAGTCGGATTTGTATTGTTATTTGCGGATCGCTTTTACCGGCTTTTGTCTCTTTTCTAAAACGGTCATTTTTCCGATATTACTAAAAAAACACAGTAATATCGAAAAAATGACCGTTTTAGAAAAGAGACATCTACGTTAAAAAGATTGTAACATTCAATTATATTTGAGTTCTACAAACCTCTCAAAGGGTTATATTATCCCGAAACCAAGTGCCTATGGCTTTTGTACGGAAAATAAGGCTCCAAAAATATACACTGTACATGGTCATTTGCTCATCTTTTGCTCTTTAATAAGTTTAAATCTATAATTGAAGTAACGTTAAATGCCATTTCAAAGAGTTAAAATCTGTCAAACCTTTGGGACATTTTTTTTAATTGACTTGTTGATGAATCGTATAACTCTACCAGTCCGTGTCGTAGTCGATCTTATTTATTCCTGTTCTTGACAGTCTACATTGATGAATCTTTCAATTCTAATTGTTTAAATAGATTTTGAACTTTTATCGGTGGTGATAAACTGCGTTTCTTCAGCTGGTTTCGTTTGTTGTTAATTACCGTGGCTTTAGCAGCTATACCTCTACAACCCTGAAAAAAATAATTCAACACTCTAAGGCTTACTATAAGGTACCATATACAAAACCACCGATACAATTATATAAAAAAAATTTCCACTATCAAAATTATAGTTATAGAAAGGTGAAAAGCCTACTATATGTTCATTTGCCAAACAATGTGGAGCACGGGAAATCGTCGTTTCAGCGACTGAGGCGCATTCCGGCGGGATTTTCGCTGCATCATTCATTAACATCAATAAAAAGAACTAGAATTCCACAGCTTACTTAATTCATGTCAAACGAATATCAATATCATTCCGATTTTTTTCTGTTTCACGGTATTTTTTGACTTGTCGCTGCCATTTGGGATTCTGATACCTGTGTGTTATATGCGATCTGATTGGACATCCAATTTGGCTCATCCAATCAGATCACGTATTTCAACCCAGGTATCAGACTGAAAAATGGCTAAGACAATTCAAAAATTATCGTGAAACAGAAAAAATCGATATATTGATATTCGTCGGACTTGAATTAGATAAGCTGTGGGATTCTAGTTCTTTTTATTGATGCCGGAATGCGCCTCAGTCGCCGAAACAACGATTTCCCGTGTTCCACATTGTTTGGCAAATGAACATATAGTCTTTTCACCTTTCTATAACTATAGTTTTGATAGTGGATTTTTTTTTATAATTTTGACGATGGTTTTGAATTTGGTACCTTATAGTAAGCCTTAGAGTGTTGATTTTTTTTCAGGGTTGTAGTAGGGGTCCAGGGGCAGATAGGGGTGGGGTGTCCAAACACTGATACTGCCACCTGTGAGTTCATCAAGACTTTCTGGCAAGCCTTAATATTACCACACATGACTAGCCGCCGCATAGCTCAGATTTTGACGAACTAAGAACTCAGTTGGATTAGATAATATTTCCAGGAGGACAAATCCATGCATAGGAAAGTAAGGGCCGCGACGAATGTGCAAGTGGTACATACGCAATTACTAAAAAGTGAGTCGGAATAAGGAGGTACCATTAAATATGCTTGAATAACCGTGAATTTCTGGCAAGAACATTGAGAAATATCTTGATAATTTGTTGATAAAAGATTAATTATTAGGCGGATATTAACCATTCTAAAGACTTTTTTCTTTACATTCCAGGAAGTATTCTTTTTTTATTTGTGTGCATCTCGTTAAAGATGCCATCTTAGCACCCTTAAGACATGTAAGAACGATTCTTTCCCGCGATGAATACCAGGTTAAGTGATTAAGAAATTTAATGTCTTATACGGGAATTGAAATATTTGATTTCTTTTGAAGTCTATAGAGATAATATTAGGAAAAATTTAGATTCTAAATATGAAGCGAAAAAGAGACAAGTTTGAAGTAAGTGTTATTACTGGGCCGCGTTCCTGCTGTACCATATTTAAACGTGCTTGCTTGATAAACTGGTACAACTTTCAACTGTACAGGTCAACATTTACTAACAAAGTTTTGGTACATCCTCCTCGGCCTTTACCTTTTCCACATTTGAAATAATCAAACAAAATGACAAAAAATCGCGTAACAGAAAGTATCATTAAAGCAATTAAAGAATCTTTGTTGAAAAGATAAGCTTGTGGGATACTAATTCTTTTTATTGAGGTCAAACAACGATTTCCCGTGTCCACATTGTTTGGCAAAAATGAACATCTAGAAACTATAGTTTTGATGTGGATTTTTTTTTATAATTTTGACGATGGTTTTGTATTTGGTACCTTATCGTAAGCCTTAGAGTGTTGAATTGTTTTTTTTTCAGGGTTGTAGTAGGGGTCCAGGGGCAGATAGGGGTGGGGTGTCCAAACACTGATACTGCCACCTGTGAGTTCATCAAGACTTTCTGGCAAGCCTTAATATTACCACACATGACTAGCCGCCGCATAGCTCAGATTTTGACGAACTAAGAACTCAGTTGGATTAGATAATATTTCCAGGAGGACAAATCCATGCATAGGAAAGTAAGGGCCGCGACGAATGTGCAAGTGGTACATACGCAATTACTAAAAAGTGAGTCGGAATAAGGAGGTACCATTAAATATGCTTGAATAACCGTGAATTTCTGGCAAGAACATTGAGAAATATCTTGATAATTGTGTTGATAAAAGATTAATTATTAGGCGGATATTAACCATTCTAAAGACTTTTTTCTTTACATTCCAGGAAGTATTCTTTTTTATTTGTGTGCATCTCGTTAAAGATGCCATCTTAGCACCTTAAGACATGTAAGAACGATTCTTTCCCGCGATGAATATACCAGGTTAAGTGATTAAGAAATTTAATGTCTTATACGGGAATTGAAATATTTGATTTCTTTTGAAGTCTATAGAGATAATATTAGGAAAAATTTAGATTCTAAATATGAAGCGAAAAAGAGACAAGTTTGAAGTAAGTGTTATTACTGGGCCGCGTTCCTGCTGTACCATATTTAAACGTGCTTGCTTGATAAACTGGTACAACTTTCAACTGTACAGGTCAACATTTACTAACAAAGTTTTGGTACATCCTCCTCGGCCTTTACCTTTTCCACATTTGAAATAATCAAACAAAATGACAAAAAATCGCGTAACAGAAAGTATCATTAAAGCAATTAAAGAATCTTTGTAAAACATTTTGTATACAATTTGAGGCAAACTTGTATCCAGATTCTGAAACTGGAAGTCTTGAAAATCCGTGGCTTATTAATTTTGCAATTATTAAGCAGCAGTTTAATAGCAGTTTAAAACTTCAATCTTTACTCATTTATGCAAACGTTTATATTAACTTTAATGTCTCAAAAACGGAACAGCACAATTTGCATGTAATCGTATACTTGGTTTATACAGAATTTATTTTAGTTCGATTGTGTAGGAAGCTATAAGCTTATAGACTTTCGAATTCGTTCCTGGAACCAACCAGTACTGAGCAATGAGTGTTAAGTTTCTAGCGATAATTAGACTACTAGTCCGAAGCGTTTACCAATCGGCCATGCCGCCACTCATAAAAAAATGCCATACTTTGACAGCACTATTTGGGTTATACAAAAGAAAACACAATGTAAGCTCAATATGATTTATTTTGAGTAATTTGTCACGTATTTCACCATATAGAAGCACAGTTACCATAGAGAAGATAGTGCAGTCAAACTGGATGTACATGTAATCATAATGAGGAAGCTTAATGATATCACATAAACAAAACCATGACTGGTTCCCTAGTTCACCCAGTCTAGATCATCTAATCATGACTGGTTCCCTAGTTCATCTAAACATGACTGGTTCCCTAGTTCATACAGCCACAACTGGTTCCCTGGAACTTACAAAATGAAATTTAGTTCATACTGTTTAAGAATGGTTTGCTATTTAACACAATCACGGCTGGTTCCCTAGTACAATCATGATTGGTTCCCTTGTTCATACATTTATGACTCATGAACCCCAAAACTTACAATCATGGTTCCCTTAATTACAAAATAATCATGTTACTAAAATGATGGAAATGATTTAGAAAATATTAACTCTACATACAAAATGAGGATCATTACTTTTACTCCAAAAGAAAAGAAAAGATTAAATTAATCAAATTTACTTTCAACAATTAACAAAATAAAATTGTTTGCTTAATTAGGTCATTATAATTGTATGCTATGAATATATTAAAAGAATTTCTGAATAATTAATAACTGCAATAATTTACAAAGAAATTGAGCTACGCTTCAGTTGAGTACATAAAACAAGACAAAAATATAAGAGATATTCAAGCACAAAGTATGAGAACAAAAATCACAGCTTTAGGGAACAAAAAAATACATTGTAAATAACATTATGTAAAGTGCTGAAATTAAAATTTAAAAACAAATTAACATTTCCATTGCTTTGTAGATTCATTTTTTTTACAATTTATGCAATTTTACAATTTTAATTACAAAGAGATCAAACAAAACATGTCAAAAAACATCAGATGTTTTATAATCATCATTAGATTACATAAAAGAGACATAATGTCACTATGACCTTGACATTTGACCTTCTGACCTAGTTAAACTACCTTGACATTTGACCTTTTGACCTAGTTAAAATATCTGATCATAGGAAAGCTGTGGACCAATTTTGATATGCCATGCATAAATTGGAGTCTTTTAAACTTTAAAAAAAAAACCAGACATCCTCTCCCACTTAAACAATTGTTTATTTACTCTTTTAACAATGTACATTAATTTTTGTCAAGATTTCTTATTTCATCAATTAATCATTTTGAGAAATAAGGTGCTTTTTTTCTATTTGATTAAATTGGAGTTAAGTTACATATTACATGTATTATGCTGACCCATATCTTTTGGCAATTCTAATTCCACATTTAGTCTATTGATTTTTCTTAAATGTATTTGTTCACCTTCCATCTTGAAACTGTCAATTTTCAATTCTCATTTACAGACTGGCCTGGCTCGAGACCGGTGGCAAAGGTAAATCACTTCCGGACCCAGCAGGGAAGGGCTTAAACAAGTTCTTATTGCTTCTCCTGATGCTTAACTTAAAAAGTAAACACAATCTTATGGCATTTGTTTTAACACAAACTTTTAGTGTGCATATAAAGTATTTGCTTTTTTTATCTACAAAAATATTTATACAAATATTCAACAGATAGTTTAATAACGTTCAGATACAAAAGTAAACAATAAAACTTACAAAATAACATATGTTTTACATATCCATTGTTCAACCAGAAGTCCATAACCATCCAAATAAAGTTCTAAACTTAGATCTCAAACCATAAAGTTGAGTTCTAAATTTAGTTTGCTGGATCTAATGTTTAAAGTCAATTTCTAAATTTAGCTCTGAAACTAAATCTTGTGCTGATACTAAGTCAGGTCCTAATTTTAAATCTGCATTTAAGGTCAATTCTGAAAATTAAATTTACATCAGAAACTTTAAATTTCAATATTTATACAGTCCAACCCCGTTTATTCGAAGTGCCTGGGACTGAATATTTACTTCGAATAATCGATGTGTTCGAATAATCGAAATCGGAATATTGTGATAGACCGAAACTACTCCACTTTGACAAATCATAGTAAATTTCCTTTTACAACACACTTACTTCCTGTAATCAATTGAGAAAAATAAATATTAAAGAAAAGATGCGTAAAAATTATTGTATTGACATTGAAGACATAAATACTTGCATTTTATTCTACATTATGTATTGTTTCGTTTCGCGCAAAGCTTTGATAATGGCCGTGTTGTTACAACTGTATTTACAGCTAAACTCTGGTATTTTGGATTAGGATAAAGGCTCTCATGTAGCGTTACAATTAATTAAAAAAATGTTTAGGATGTTTTGACAAATTTACATATACGGTATCTTATCACAGCATTTGATTAAGATTAAAATCCATTTTTTTTTTTTATATCTTTAAGAATGTAAACGCTTTATAATAGATAAGCTCACTTTAGTACTAAATGGTGTTAACGTTCATTCTCCAAAAATATGTAAATTGAAAATTTGTGCTACAACTTTGTTCATGTACCATGATATTGTGTTTGATTGTACTATATAAATGTGTGTAATATGACTATGTACTGAATGTATACGTCAATAAATTATCTATCTATCTATCTATATATGAAAATTATTGCTGTCATCTTCACGCAATAACAGTAACAAAATCGTACACGGTGCATTGCTTTTCATTTTCGGTAATTAAAGTTGATTAAAGAACACACAAAGGGTTATTATCATGATTGTCTAAATACAGGCATGACTGTTGATATTTTTCACAAGTCGACCGGTTAGCGAGTCGATCTGCGCCAATTAGTCTGGCTTCGAATAATAGGTGTGAAATTCTTTCATAATTGTAAATTCGGGACCGAAATTTTACTTCGAAAAATAGGAGGTATTCGGATAATGCATTTTGAAAAATACGCTCGAATTTATATTGATTTATATAGAGATAAAAACGGGACCGCCGATCTACTTCGGAAAATGCCGGGTATTCGAATAAAGGGTTGTCGAATAACCGGGGTCAGACTGTAATTGAAACTTCTAAAATTAAGAATCTTCTCAAAAAGTTAAATCTCATCAAATCTTTCAAGAAAAACAACTTTAAACAAAACATAATATATGAACAGGGAAAAATAACCATTTCTTATAATGTAAGGTCCAAGGTAGATTGATTTTTGGCAACAAATGATTGTCTAATAAACGTCTGACCAATAAACCAATAAAACTAACAGCCTGCAACAATTAAAAAATGCTTGATTATAAGGCTACATTTTTTTTCAGCTAGAGTGAACTTTTTGGATATTTTTCAGTTGAACTTAAATAACAATTTGAAAACGTTTTACAGTAATTTATTAGGATGTTAATCTCTCTTGAGTCTATCTACTTACTTCGGACAGAAAAGACAGATAAATATAACGGCCACTGTCACTTTAGAAAAGTTACCAGTCACTTTAGCCTTAGATTAAAGTAACTGGTAAACTTTCTCTAAAGTGACCATAATTTCGTAATTTTGGTGATGAATTTGCTCTAGCCTTTATTTAAGGATTGCTTATTATTATAAGGGGTTACATTGCCAAGAGGTTTAAATCAACAGCCTACAGTATAAAGCCTGGCCAGACAGATTTCATGGATTATTTCAAACTGGCCTGACTTTACACTGTTGACAAGCTGATGTGAAACAGATAAACTAATAGATACCTTGTCTGTCCTATGGCATAACCCTACAAAAGATAAACCATTAAAGCCAAATGAAAAAAACATAATACTTTCTTCCTCTAGAAAAATGAGCAAGAAGATGGAAAATATTGGAAATTAAAAGTTAAATTTCCTTTTTTGAGGGTAATTCATTAAATGTTGTTGTTTTTTATATATGCAATACAGTTTACAGACAAGTGATGACAGGAAAGTCTGAAAGGCAAACATTTAAGGGGTGTTTAGGGGGAAATTTGTATGAAACAAAAAACTGTTTTCTGATCTATTAGTAGATGGATGATACACAAGTATTCCCAGATATAAGATGTATAAAAGATGGACACGCTGACATTATGCTATTACAACATTATAAACTATGGACACACCTCACATAGCAATATTTGTTTCCCTTAATGTACATAAGCACTTCAACTATTATGGCAACATGGAACAAATATCTTTTCTGATGCAATTTGCAAGTGTTCATGTATAATTCATACTGTTTATTTCATAGTCTAATATTGTTATGATGATTATTTCCCAGATTTTTTCTGATGTTAACTGTGGTTTGGTCCGTAAAATGTTGTGATTTTATATCAAAAACAAAATGACATGCAAAACTTTTTGATGAAATCTAGAATTTGAATGCTTGCCAGTTAATAAAGCACTTGGTAATAATATGAGTATCAAATCTTTTAGACTTAAGTGATATATATTTCAAACAAGAATGTCTTGGCATTTCTGATATGAGCTAATCCAAAAACAATTATAAACTAAGTAAAATATATGTCTATATTGCAACTTTTGTCCAAATACACACACTATTCTCTGCATGATGAAGACAAAAACACTTTCAAATTGCTCCTCTGAAAAAGATAAAGTCTTCCAGAATGCAAAACAAGAGTATCAATTAATTAATTAATCAATTCCTCTCTCAGTTTTTTGATATGGTAACCCATTTCTATAACCGACCTAATAATTGTGTATTATTTCTTATCAAATGCTGTAGCAGCACGAAAAATCAAGCTCCCAAAAAAAAAGCTGTTATCTTTTTCAAAAAACAAAACTTGGTAATTGTATATTTCCATTTGGATGCTGATGCAGGGTGACTAAATTCTACTGTACCACTTTCCACTTCTATATGTTAGAGTTTGATACTGAAAATGGTCAAGGTCTTTTATGCCGTTATCCATTTCAAAAAACAAAACGTGGTAATTGTTATATATTTCTAATTGGATGCTGCAGCAGCCAGTGGACTAAGTTCGCCGATTCCGTTGTCCATTTCTATGACGGACTTGGTGAGAAGCATTGTAAGTTTGGTATAACACACCTGACATACTCTCTCATTTGTGTTGATCATCTGATGTGGTAGCGGGATCGTTTCCTTACAGCAGTTGTGGCAGAATATCTTACCACAGTTTCTGAAATACACATAATACTTTGTAAATCAATGTAAAGAAACAAAATATATATCGTATAATCTATGTCAAGTTTTGAATTGAATCTATTTCTCTTATTCAAATTATATATTTCAAGGGTTGACCACAAAACTGCAGTAATTTTTATGAAATAAAAGAAGGACTTACAACAGTTTTGCGGTCAACCCTCAATTTAACTGTTTTGTTGTCCTAGGTGTCTCCTCAAACAAAAATTTAAGACATTAAGTATTTTGGTATTGATTACAAAGACAGCACATCAATGTAACTGTTAATTTTTGCATTTTTATGAACAGACTCAATCAAATTGATCCTACTACATTTTCAATTTTGCCAGTTTGAACATTCTTTATGTATTCTATGTCTCTCTACTTTATCACATTAGGATATTGATAAATCTCTCAAATTAAACCTGACAGGTATAGAATCAAAACAGGGCCAATTAAATTGTACAAATTTACTAATTAGCATGATAAGGTATTGAGAATAAGAATTCAAGTCATAAAAGTGCTGACTTCCACTACAAGACCATTGAGTTGATAATAACAATACTGTTACTAAAGAACATACTCTCCTGAAGGTAAAGTAAAACTTATTACCTGCAGTGATGCTTTCTTTTCAGCATGGAGAACTCCATCTCACAGCCAGCACATTGGGTGACCATGTGATCTGGTACCCAGCGTGTGACGTTAACTTCTGGGTCATCCATTTGGTCCCAGCTTGCGTCAGAGGCAGCATTACTGTAGTTGCTTTGTATTGATTGAAGATCACAACTTCCTGGTGATTCCTGTCATTACAATGTTTAAATAGAGTTTTACCTTTATTTTTACAAATTACATGTAAAACTGAATCACATGACTGACTTAGATGATCTTCATCAAACAGCTTGAATCTTACAACACAAAAACAGCCAACAAAAGAAGTAATTTCATACATTTTTGCTAATTATATTTCATAGTTTATATCTAAAGAGCTTA